TCTAGAGCCAGCATGGCTAAAAACGAGACTGGTTTTATCAGCAGTTTGCATTGGAGCCATCTTTGGTCCAACAACAGCTGGGTGCAGTGACAACATGTAGCATCTTCCTGTCCACGTGGGCGGGTCGACAGGTTTGTAAAATGTCTTGAACAAACCTGAATGGATTAACATGTACAGCAGCTTTGTGAAAATAAGAACAAATAAGTCCAATGTAGAGTTTTTCAAAGGTATTCTTTTTTCGATTTAATGCTAAGCTAGCAGTTCCCATAAGCCCATAGGCGGAAATAGTGGGGGACCGTGGGGGGGTCACCCCAATAACATAAAAGTGTGTTTTAAGTTTATAGAAAAATTTTGAGTACCCCCTCCTTTGCCTCAAAATGGTTTGGTCCACTGCCTACTTCCCCTCTTTACATCACCAACACACGTCTAGGGAGAGAAAGTTTGAATCGCTTCAGTAGTTGTGGAACTCCAGTAACGTTAAGTAGGCTGGCACGGCTGTTTTATTCACTTGAAACATCAGATGAAGTGATTCTTTCTCTTTAATACAGAGGATGTAGAGTCATTAATAAATTAATATAAATTAATTAATAAATCATGACAAAAAATATGATAACTGATGTATTTTTCCTTGAGTCCTATGTTACCTATTGTAATGTAACCTAGTTTGTTTGGTAGCCTTTCTAATAGCTTGTTGATAGTAAGTCACCCACTACAGCTAGAGATGTGCCGATCGATCTCCTCTGGACTGGAATAGGCTGCTTTTCAGCTAATTTGGCAATATTATGCCAAATTAGAATGTAATATTATCCATATTACACTACTAATAGCAGTAAGACTTCCCTCTGTGTACACATATCCTGCGCAATTACAACTTTGGCTTTATTATTTGTGGCCCCTTTTTTCGCTTGAGAAAGTTTATGTTTATTGCCCCCCCAACGGTTAGATGAAATTTACACCCTTGTCCCTGCCTTCAGTCTTGATACAGAGCTAGGCTAAACAGACCTATTTTAGTACCAGATGTTTTATCTTACCTCACTCTGGGTAAGACAGCTAAGCTACAATTTCCTTGATATTTTATTTTCACTCTATAAACCCATCTTACAGTAAAAATAGTGTTTTTATCTTGCTCATATTGTAGCTGCTCACCCCTCAGCTTGTCTTTGGCCCCTGCCACCATGTAATAGAAGATGTGAAAGGCTCTCTCAGTGTTGGCCTGACGAATACAGCGAGACTTCTCCAGCAGGTCTGTTCGGGTCAGGAGAGGGTTAAGTAGATAACCATGTCTGTTTTCAGTTACAGTGGCACTAGGCACATTATTTTGAGATCATTTTATGTTATTTTTAACACATTTGATCAAAGGATACAGGTGTCAATATTAGCCCCAACAAGATAGCCAGTCACATCAAAGTTGAGCTTGATGAACTTGCCCTGTGGACAGAGGAGACAACAGCAGCTACATGACACCATTAACTACTGTGGTGAGTCAAAGTCAAAGCGCTGACTTAGAAACAGATTAAAAACTTACAAATCTTGAGGAGTTATCGTTCTTGATGGTTTGGCGTTTCCAAACGCCTCCAGGATGGGATTAGCCTGCAGCAGCTGCTTCTCCAGCTCCCCCTTCAACCCATAACAAGGTTACACACATTTTTACTTGCTTGAACCATAAATCTATTGATCTCCAGACTGTATAGACCTCAGCTGGCAGGCTTTTGACCAGAACAAAGAAACGTGATCACATCACTCCTGTTTTAGCCTCTTTAAACTTTTACAGAAATTCACTGTTGCTTTAAAAGATCGTTGCCTCTCGCCCTGCTTTATATCTGACCTTTTAGTGATTTATTTAAATAAAATTTTCGTTTTACTGTATTTTCATTCCATGGTTTTTATCTGCCTCAACTCTTTTCTGGTTTTTAACTGTGTTTTATATTTCTGCCCTTGTGAAGCACTTTGTAACATGGATTTTGAAAAGTGCTCTATAAATAAATGTGTTGATTATTATTATTATTGCACTATATTAGGGCTGAACAATGAATCGAAATCTTATCGAAATCGCAACGTGAATCGCAACGTTTTGATAAGATTTGCAGTAGTCGTTAAAAGCAAAATGTGTGTCAGAAATCCATCCATCCATCCATCTTCAACCGCTTATCCTGCCTACAGGGTCGCGGGAACCCTGTAAAACTATTTTGAATTAAATATTGTTGTGCTGCAGAGATGTCCTGGTCTACAAAAATTATTCTACAATAAAAATAAATTGTTTGGTGCAGATCCTTGCAATATACCATAATCATTTAAATATGTTCATGATCGTTCCCTCGATATTATGTGTATCTATCTATTCTGTGTATTTAACAGTAGACATGCACATGACAGCCGATAAGCACGTTAAATTGAATACATACATACCAAGATGTAAGACTGACACATTCAATTTTAAGTAGTGTAAAAGAGTTTACACTTACGTAGGCCGAGATCCCCCCTGCTGCTGTGGCGGCTGCAGAAAGACACAGGAACACAAACTGGTTAGAAACTCAATAAATCTTCAACTTACTTGTCTTCTTTTTAAAAAGGTACTACATTTAGCATCTCCCCAAAATTGGCTGCCCGCATGACAGCTTGAAAGCAGCAGAGCAGCAGGACCAGAGGTCAAGCATCATTAAACCTTAAAACTAAACAAACCACAGATAGTTCTTCACTGGATTATATGCAGCTGAGCGAACAGCAGCTGTAACTTGTTGGAAAGATATGAAGACTTGGCTCAATGGTCATTTGTAAGTACGATCATTTTCCATTCCCTGCACCTGTTTTGCTGACATTGCTGCTATTTTATGATTTAAAAAAAATCTTCAGTCATAGATGTGAGAACAATTAGAAGCTCCAGCAGCAGCAGACGCACAGACAACAACAATCTGTCCTCACCTTGACCACAGCTGCAGCCACTGAATCCTGTCATGCACAGTAGAATATGTGATTTAATATTTTGTGCTCTGATACAGTGTAGTTCATCACATTTAAATGAGTTAGTACAGTTTCAAATGAAGGCTCTGTCTTTCATGATAGTAACCAACTTTTAGCGGTTAAGTTTGCTAAAATGTGGAACAGCTTCAAGCTAACATCACAACATACGTAACATTTTATTTATTACACTGAGGAAATTCATTATGGAGCCGAAGATACTTCCAGCAAAAACAATGTTTAATGCATTTAAACTGAAACTGACACACAAAATATATTTGTTGGCTAAAAACAAACATGACCACTGCAGAGATACACTGTAAAGCACACAATGTTAATTTAATTAGTTTTCGATTAATTCATACTGTGTACAATTATTCCTTGGAATACCGTAAAACTTCAATTAATAGCCCGAGCTTTTATTTCTTAAATCTAGGGCTGGGCGACACGGCCAAAAATGTTATCACGATAAAAACATTTCATATCATTCGATATCGATAATTATCAGGATGAAAGTCAAATCATTCTTTCAAGTTTAAAAGCAGATTTTTGCTCCTGAGTGAAAATTATTATATATAACTTAATTATGTGTTTAAACTTCTTTATGGTCAGAATGTGACAAACACTTGATACAGTGGATCACTTCACAAATCTGAGTTAGCACATTCAAAACCATTATCTTTTCCAACAAATATGATTAGTTAATCTTTCAGGCCTCTTTTCCTCAACAAAATTAATATTTTAATAGACAAATGAAGTGCTAATTTGTTTGTTTCAAATGAATATAAGCAAATGTTTATTGACGATATATTGAATATTTATTAAATTGTTATTGAGGAAAATTATTATTGATACATTATATTATTGTTTTATTGCCCAGCCCTACTTAAGTCCCTGAACTCACCCTGCCTATATCTGGGAAAGGCCTTTAATTCCTTTCCCACAAATACTCTTTCTCAGCAAAATGGTAAAAAGCTCCTATTACTTTGTTTGTTTCAACCAGAATGAATATTATTTGTATAAAAATATGAATCATTCATTTGATCTAGAGCGAGAGAAACATTTAGACTGCCGTAGAAAGGATGAAGCTATTTGTGTTAACAAGCATTTGAACAGTTGTACCTAATACAGTGGCCGGAGAGTGTGTGCTGACTTTATGACTGCTTCAAAATAAACTTTTGTTTCCGTAAAATGAACTGTATGACTGAATTGTGGAGAATCTAACTGATCCTACGATATGTAGCATCTCCATAATGACATTTGTTTTTTAAAAATTATATGTATGCACGATCTAAGCAGCTTTAAGAGGTTTTATACATCCATAGAACTTATATAAAAACAGACCCAGCATCGAATTGGGACTCTGCTTTTAACTTAAAGTTTTATTTTCTCCATGAGCAATGAATTTCATGCCATCATAAATTTATTTTTATAATTTTGATAGCTGATAAAGTTAGTGTGGAAGCTGGTAGTATTTGTTCAGAGCACATTATCCTAATAATGTGTTAATAATTGTTTATATTCCTATCATTTTATAGCTGTAGTTCCTAGTTACTGTGCAAATTGAGATCTTAAACAAAAAGTATGATAATGTTCTTCTTCAACATTTACTTCTTGAAATTAGCTCCTAAAACAGCTACAACATTAAAATGCTGCGTACATTTTATTGCATCAACTAAATTAATCGAATAGTAGAATTTATTATTATTCTACTCACACTGCATAATGAGTACTTTTACTTTAAGGAGTATTTTTACCTTGGGAAAGATGTAAGCCATGGGGAAGAGGTAAGATTGTTATGAGTCTTTGAAAGAGTCAAATCACTACTAAGAAATATTGGGCAGTTACACCACGTCTAAGTCTGATGCTGTGGCGTTTTGTTCTTGAAATTCATCATTGTGATATATTTAACTTCTATTTGTCATTTGTTTTGTTGGATGTAATTATTACTTGGCTGCTATGTACTGCATATCCAGTTTTCAAGAGCAATCTTTAAACATTGCTTGAAACATCTCGATGGAGTTTCTGAAGCCGTTTCTACTCACAGGATTCGCGTCCTTCTTGCCCTTGTGTGAGGAGGCGACGACAGCCAGGTACTGAATCACCTTCTTGGTGTTTTCTGTCTTCCCCGCTCCAGACTCACCTCTGGGTGACGTGGTGAGGAGAGGCGGATGAAACATATGGAGAATAAAAGAGAGAGAGACAAAGATTATAATAGAGAGCAGTTATTTGTTTTTTTTTTCTTTTCCATTAGAAGCTAAAATGTCAAAAACTCACTTTTCAAATGTGAATATTTGCTTGTTTTATTTTGTCTTCTATGATAGTAAACTGAGTTTTGGTGGGTTTGAACTGTTGTCTGGACAAAAACAATCATTTTCAATATGTCAGGTTGAGCTTAATTTTATATATCTTTTTATTTTCTGCAATTTTATAGACTGAGAGTAATCAGTTATTTGAAAACTCCCTACAACATACGTCACTCTATTTTAGGGTTTAAGGTTAGTTTAATTCTCCAGGGAATGAATGAAAGTGAATGCGGGGGGCCCCCTTAAGTGATGGAAACAAAATTTGTGTGCTCACATGCATGGCACAATGTGATGGAAAATGGTTAAGGGTTGTATGTTTTCACTCACGTGCAGAGAATTGACTGATCCTCACGGTCTGCGGAGAAAGAGAGAGAGAGATGTTAAAAAGGGGGAAATAATGTGAAATGTTGACTTAGCTGAACTCGTTAGTTGAAGCCAAGTTGAACAGACCAAACATGAACTCTGAAGCGGTGCCGCTTCACTCGGACACAAGCGCAAACGGCTCTGAAATCTCGTTCAGGGGGAGATTAGCCTCCATCACTCATAACGTCTAAAAATAGCAGGTGGATGCTGGGCTCCATTGCTGTAATCTTGTCTCCCTGCTCCATGTAAGGCCATTCTGGAGCTGAATGGAAAGTTGGTGAGGTCACTGGTGGACCATCAAGAGACGAGACAGCAACTCTGAGGCTTCACTCAGGGCTGCTCGCTGCCACCACTCACTTTTATCTAGTAACTTTCATTTGGTAATTGTATGTGTGTGAGAGTGTGCGTTTGTGTGTCTTCTGTTTTGTTAAGTACTGTGAGAAATTTTAAATGTTTTTAGTTTACACTGTTCAATACACTTGGTGTTGACACATTTTGTTTTGGAGGCATGTTGTGCCGTAAATCAGGAACTGGAGAGCAGCAACAACAGCAGTAGTAGCAGTAGTAGTAGTAGTAACATACGTGTTAGTAGCAGTAGTAATAATATATGTGGTAGCAGTGAAAGTAGCAGCAGCAGCAGTAGTAACATACGTGTTAGCAGCAATAGTAGTAGTAACATACGTGTTAGCAGCAGCAGCAGTAGTAACATACGTGTTAGCAGCAATAGTAGTAGTAACATACGTGTTAGCAGCAATAGTAGTAGTAACATACGTGTTAGCAGCAGTAGTAGTAGTAACATACGTGGTGGCAGTGAAAGTAGCAGCAGTAGTAGTAGTAACATACGTGTAACATACGTGTTAGCAGCAATAGTAGTAGTAACATACGTGTTAGCAGCAGTAGTAGTAGTAACATACGTGGTGGCAGTGAAAGTAGCAGCAGTAGTAGTAGTAACATACGTGTTAGCAGCAGTAGTAGTAGTAACATCGTGTTAGCAGCAGTAGTAGTAGTAACATACGTGTTAGCAGCAGTAGTAGTAGTAACATACGTGGTAGCAGTGAAAGTAGCAGCAGCAGCAGTAGTAACATACGTGTTAGCAGCAGTAGTAACATACGTGTTAGCAGCAATAGTAGTAGTAACATACGTGTTAGCAGCAGTAGTAGTAACGTGTTAGCAGCAGTAGTAGTAGTAACATACGTGTTAGCAGCAGCAGTAGTAGTAACATACGTGGTGGCAGTGAAAGTAGCAGCAGTAGTAGTAGTAACATACGTGGTAGCAGTGAAAGTAGCAGCAGTAGTAGTAACATACGTGGTAGCAGTGAAAGTAGCAGCAGCAGCAGTAGTAGTAGTAACATACGTGTTAGCAGCAGTAGTAGTAGTAACATACGTGTTAGCAGCAGTAGTAGTAGTATTATACGTGGTAGCAGTGAAAGTAGCAGCAGCAGCAGTAGTAACATACGTGTTAGCAGCAGTAGTAACATACGTGTTAGCAGCAGTAGTAGTAGTAACATACGTGGTAGCAGTGAAAGTAGCAGCAGTAGTAGTAGTAACATACGTGGTGGCAGTGAAAGTAGCAGCAGCAGTAGTAGTAGTAGTAGTAGTAGCAGTAGTAGTAGTAGTAACATACGTGTTAGCAGCAGTAGTAGTAGTAACATACGTGGTGGCAGTGAAAGTAGCAGCAGTAGTAGTAGTAGTAGTAGTAGCAGTAGTAGTAGTAGTAACATACGTGTTAGCAGCAGTAGTAGTAGTAACATACGTGGTGGCAGTGAAAGTAGCAGCAGTAGTAGTAGTAACATACGTGGTGGCAGTGAAAGTAGCAGCAGTAGTAGTAACATACGTGTTAGCAGCAGTGGTAGTAGTAACATACGTGGTAGCAGTGAAAGTAGCAGCAGCAGCAGTAGTAACATACGTGTTAGCAGCAGTAGTAACATACGTGTTAGCAGCAGTAGTAGTAGTAACATACGTGTTAGCAGCAGTAGTAACATACGTGTTAGCAGCAGTAGTAGTAACATACGTGTTAGCAGCAGTAGTAGTAGTAACATACGTGTTAGCAGCAGTAGTAGTAACATACGTGGTGGCAGTGAAAGTAGCAGCAGTAGTAGTAGTAACATACATGGTGGCAGTGAAAGTAGCAGCAGTAGTAGTAGTAACATACGTGGTGGCAGTGAAAGTAGCAGCAGTAGTAGTAGTAACATACGTGGTAGCAGTGAAAGTAGCAGCAGTAGTAGTAGTAACATACGTGTTAGCAGCAGTAGTAGTAGTAACATACGTGTAACATACGTGTTAGCAGCAGTAGTAGTAGTAATATACGTGTTAGCAGCAGTAGTAGTAGTAACATACGTTGGTAGCAGTGAAAGTAGCAGCAGTAGTAGTAGTAACATACGTGGTAGCAGTGAAAGTAGCAGCAGCAGCAGTAGTAGTAGTAACATACGTGTTAGCAGCAGTAGTAGTAGTAACATACGTGTTAGCAGCAGTAGTAGTAACATACGTGGTGGCAGTGAAAGTAGCAGCAGTAGTAGTAGTAACATACGTGTTAGCAGCAGTAGTAGTAACATACGTGGTGGCAGTGAAAGTAGCAGCAGTAGTAGTAGTAACATACGTGTTAGCAGCAGTAGTAGTAGTAACATACGTGTTAGCAGCAGTAGTAGTAGTAACATACGTGGTAGCAGTGAAAGTAGCAGCAGTAGTAGTAGTAACATACGTGGTGGCAGTGAAAGTAGCAGCAGTAGTAGTAGTAACATACGTGGTGGCAGTGAAAGTAGCAGCAGTAGTAGTAGTAACATACGTGGTGGCAGTGAAAGTAGCAGCAGTAGTAGTAGTAGTAGTAGTAACATACGTGATAGCAGTTACAGTAGCAGCAGCAGTAGTAGTAGTAGTAGTAGTAGTAACATACGTGGTAGCAGTTACAGTAGCAGTAGTAATAATATACGTGGTAGCAGTGAAAGTAGCAGCAGCAGTAGTAGTAGTAGTAGTAGTAGTAGTAGTAGTAGCAGTAGTAATAATATACGTGGTAGCAGTGAAGTAGCAGCAGCAGTAGTAGTAGTAGTAGTAGTAGCAGTAGTAGTAGTAGTAACATATGTGGTAGCAGTTACAGTAGCAGTAGTAGTAGTAGTATTAATATCAGTGGCAGCAGTAATGTTAATAATATCAATGGCAGCAACAGTAGTAGTAATAGAAGTAGCAGCAACAGTAGTAGTAATAGAAGTGGCAGCAACAGTAGTAGTAATAGAAGTAGCAGCAACAGTAGTAGTAATAGAAGTGGCAGCAACAGTAGTAGTAATAGAAGTAGCAGCAACAGTAGTAGTAATAGAAGTAGCAGCAACAGTAGTAGTAATAGAAGTGGCAGCAACAGTAGTAGTAATAGAAGTAGCAGCAACAGTAGTAGTAATATAAGTGGCAGCAACAGTAGTAGTAATATAAGTGGCAGCAACAGTAGTAGTAATAGAAGTAGCAGCAACAGTAGTAGTAATAGAAGTGGCAGCAACAGTAGTAGTAATAGAAGTAGCAGCAACAGTAGTAGTAATATAAGTGGCAGCAACAGTAGTAGTAATAGAAGTAGCAGCAACAGTAGTAGTAATAGAAGTGGCAGCAACAGTAGTAGTAATAGAAGTAGCAGCAACAGTAGTAGTAATAGAAGTGGCAGCAACAGTAGTAGTAATAGAAGTAGCAGCAACAGTAGTAGTAATAGAAGTAGCAGCAACAGTAGTAGTAATAGAAGTGGCAGCAACAGTAGTAGTAATAGAAGTAGCAGCAACAGTAGTAGTAATATAAGTGGCAGCAACAGTAGTAGTAATATAAGTAGCAGCAACAGTAGTAGTAATATAAGTAGCAGCAACAGTAGTAGTAGTAACATATGTGGTAGCAGTTACAGTAGCAGTAGTAGTAGTAGTATTAATATCAGTGGCAGCAGTAATGTTAATAATATCAATGGCAGCAACAGTAGTAGTAATATAAGTAGCAGCAACAGTAGTAGTAATAGAAGTGGCAGCAACAGTAGTAGTAATAGAAGTGGCAGCAACAGTAGTAGTAATAGAAGTAGCAGCAACAGTAGTAGTAATAGAAGTAGCAGCAACAGTAGTAGTAATAGAAGTGGCAGCAACAGTAGTAGTAATAGAAGTAGCAGCAACAGTAGTAGTAATATAAGTGGCAGCAACAGTAGTAGTAATAGAAGTGGCAGCAACAGTAGTAGTAATAGAAGTAGCAGCAACAGTAGTAGTAATAGAAGTGGCAGCAACAGTAGTAGTAATAGAAGTAGCAGCAACAGTAGTAGTAATATAAGTGGCAGCAACAGTAGTAGTAATAGAAGTAGCAGCAACAGTAGTAGTAATAGAAGTGGCAGCAACAGTAGTAGTAATAGAAGTAGCAGCAACAGTAGTAGTAATAGAAGTAGCAGCAACAGTAGTAGTAATAGAAGTGGCAGCAACAGTAGTAGTAATAGAAGTAGCAGCAACAGTAGTAGTAATATAAGTGGCAGCAACAGTAGTAGTAATAGAAGTAGCAGCAACAGTAGTAGTAATAGAAGTAGCAGCAACAGTAGTAGTAATAGAAGTGGCAGCAACAGTAGTAGTAATAGAAGTAGCAGCAACAGTAGTAGTAATATAAGTAGCAGCAACAGTAGTAGTAATAGAAGTGGCAGCAACAGTAGTAGTAATAGAAGTAGCAGCAACAGTAGTAGTAATATAAGTGGCAGCAACAGTAGTAGTAATAGAAGTAGCAGCAACAGTAGTAGTAATATAAGTGGCAGCAACAGTAGTAGTAATAGAAGTAGCAACAACAGTAGTAGTAATAGAAGTGGCAGCAACAGTAGTAGTAATAGAAGTAGCAGCAGCAACAACAGTAGTAGTAGTAATACACTGCTGTCACTTATATTACTATAACTTCTGCTGCCACAATATGTCTAAGGAATGCAGTGTCTGTAGATAACAATTAGTACGAAAATGATTTAATTTTTCTTGTATTTTGGTGAATGTACTCCTTAATTGACCTCTATAGAACATCCCAGCCATATAAAACCAGTGAGTCTGAATTTATTCACCAGGTGTGACTTGACCTGCCACCAGCCTGCATATACTGTATTTTGATGTATATCCACACATAACGTTACCTTGCATCATGTTCCTGTAGGCGTTGTCCGTGATGGAGTAGATGTGTGGCGGCACCTCGTGGCGTTTCTTGCCCTTATACATCTCGATGATCTTTTCAGAGTAGATGGGCAGCATCTTGTAGGGGTTCACCACAACGCAGAACAGACCTGAGTACGTCTGTGGGGGGAAGAAAGACCTCGTCAGAGCATTTTCCTATAAAGTAGTACATTTACAATAAATGGATTTCTCCTGGAACACTGCCCTCTAAACTTCATGATGTTTCAGGAATCCCAGGACTAGTGGGAACCTTGTGTAGGGCTGCAACTAATGATTATTTTCCTTATCGATTAATCTGTCAATTATTTTCTCGATCAATCAATTAAGTTGTCAGGTTCAGAAAATCATGAAAAATGTTGATCAGTGTTTCCCAAAGGTGACGTCCTCAAATGTCTTCTTTCTTTCACAACCCAGAAAATATTCTCATTTGAGAAACTGAAACAACAGAATATGGACATTTCTTCTTTAAAAAAGGACTCAATGTGATAAACGGTGCCTTGTATATAAATGTAAGCCAATTGTTTAGTATCATCAGAATAACCTCAGGACTTCTAGAATACTTTGTGAATTGAAGTGTTGTCCTATAAAACGATGTCAGCATGTTTCTTCCCTTTACCTTTAACCCTCCACCGTCTGATTACATGTTCAGGTGAAAGGATGTCGTGTTGCAGTTGTTAAAGCCCTGGGCTACGTGACAGTGGCTGAATCCCAACCTTCGGACTCACAGACTCACCGACATAGAGGTGAGTTCCCAGTGAGAATGTGTGGGCTTAGGGCTGTCCCGCTGTAGTCAAGTGCATGACAGGACTTAATATTACCCACAGTTCATAGCGTTGTGACATTAAACACAGGGTCACCAGGGGAAGTCCAGCAATTAACAAACTACAAAGCAACAGTCGGTTCCTTCAGTGCGTCAGCCGTGAAGAAAGTAAAACAATTTAAATTAAATATCCCAATTGTTTTGGCGTTTATTGTGCAGCGCTGTGCCATTATACCATTACGGGCGCTTGAGGCCTCTCGCACTTACCAGGTGGCATCAGCTAAGTCTGTGAGGGTTCAGGGTTCAGGCTTTAGAGTGGAGATCAGGATTTTGGTCTTTCAGGTCTGACTGTTTGGCCCCTCCCACTCTAGTGAGGGATTGGCCTCACCTGATTGGCCTAACCCTAACCTGGCCAGGTTCCTCTAATGATGGCTCTTTCTCTCTCTTCCTCCTAGTGTGCTGGTGCCTTTTTGTTGGTGTGATTGTTAAGTTAATCCTTTGTTCAACACTAGCTTAACATAAACAGTCCTCAACACTGACTCTGGATTTCACATATCATGCTATATTTTTATTTTTTTGAGTTGTCCTTAATGAACGACTTCTTTAATTAAATGTCACTATGTGGACAGTGTCCCAACAGTGAACCTGTAAAATGTAAAATGATCTTCTGATGTCACGGCTCCCCGATAAAGGCCAGTTCATGTGTGGTTAGTTCACTCATGTCTGGAATAGCAGCAGGATAGAGAGGACAGTGGAGATTCACAATGTGTTCAATCAATCAATCGACAGAAAATGACCAAAATCACCAACTATTTTGAAAATAAGAAATTACATTTATTTCTAGCAAAAATGCCAAACATTCACTAGTTCCTGCTTCCTAATTATGAGTTTTTCCTGCATTTCTTTGTTTTTTGTGATAGTAAACTGAATATTTTTGTGTTTTGGACCGTTTCTCACTACTTTCTGACATTCTTTAGACCAAACAATTAATTGACCAATCGAGAAAATAATCAGCACATTAACTGACACTGAAAATAATTGTTAGACGCAATCCTAGTTCAGAGAAACTAATGTAATCTATACTAATCTCTGAACCAGCAAAGGAAAAATGGTGGACATTTGTGCTACATGTAGTGACCAATTCAACTTGTTTTTGTCATTTCTTAAAAAACATATAAATAAAACTAAAGGCCATACATACACATATACACACAAGCCTTCATGCTAAAATACGGCACAACCTCTCAAACTGTGACATTAATAAATAACATCACATTTTTGCTTGCACAAACTTCATATTGAGATTGCTATGAATCACTCAAACATATTTACTTTACATTGTGGGACTCTGGGTCACAGCTGATATTCAGAGTTCAGCGTATGAGATTTTTGTTGGCGGCTCAGATACTGTCTGCTCATATATGGACCGGAGGGACTGGTGAGCTTCATGGCAGTCTGTATTAGATACATCAGCTTGGATTTTAATTTCACATCCCGTGCCTTATTAGACCTTGTAAGACTGACTGAAAAAATAAAAATATAAGCTGTTGATCCTTCCGGTTCATCCTGAGTCTATGTAGAGAGCAGAGTGTCTGCTAACCGTCCCTAAACAAGGACTTTTCCACCTTACTGTGGAGTCAGTATGAACCTACAGGGGTTTATAAGGAGAAATAACAAGCACCGTCACCTGCTGACCTCCGCTCCAGTAGCTTCTTCTTTCTACATAGTTTTCCTTTTATTTAGGTTTACTTGTAGTTTTTTCTCTTTCCACACACAGTGTCAGTTTTTAGAAGAATTTAAGCACCTCGTTCATTTAATTTCTGAGAACACTGAGTTCATCAAACACAGTTTGATTTTCATAACCTTCATTATTTCACTTTTAAAATAGCCTTTGGTACCATTAAATATTTCTATTAGCATATATTTGCGTTGGTAATGTTGAATTAAATGTTAATTTATTAAAACTGGAATCTAAGGACAGTATTTTATTTTCTTACTCTGACCTCGTGTTTTCTGTTCAAAGTATTAAAAAGACATTTAGTTTTTTTATATTCAGTAGGTTTGTCATCTTAATAAATTCATTCATTTTTGGTTTCTTGATGTCTTTAGTTTCATGTTAGCTCTGTTTTCCTGTGACTTGCCTGTTTATTGTGCTCAAATGCTCACTTTAAACACCTGCAACAATTTCTGAGAAAAACCTAAGGCAAACACTCATGAGTGATAGACATGAGGTGTTTTGAAAAGTACCAACAATGTGAGCTACAAGTTTCTGGAGAACTTTGATGTTCATTGTAAACCATTACTTATTCAGGGTATTTGACATTGTAGAAGCAACGAGATGATACTTCTTGATATTCTTTATTTATTATTATTATTAATATTATTAATATTATTATTAATATTAATATTATTATTAGTAGTAGTTTCTTTTATTGTTTGTCTTTACCTTATTTTATTAGGACTAAGGAGTAATTTTATCGGCATATTGTAAGATCTTGTTTTTTATTGTATTTGCTTGTGTATTGACAGTAAAGATAAAAGAAAATGTGGTTCAGATTAAGGTTAGAATCAGAGGCTACAGATTGCAGTATGTGAGTTTCCCTCTCAAATATAGCAGTACAAACGAGTGTGTGTGTTCCTCACATAGATCAGGCTGGAGAAGTATCTCTCTCGGAGGTTGTGGAGGACTGAGGCTTCGTTGAGGAAGGTGAGGGCGGCCATGTCCTCCACCTTGCTGAACTTGGGCGGGTTCATCTTCTGGATCTCGTCTTTGTTCACCTTCACCTTTTGGCCGTTGGAGAGCTCCACCAGCACCTGCAGCCAAAAACCCACCGTGTCATAAAGTTTTGTGACATTTACTTCATTTACAAACTTAATAAAGACGGTAGGTATTGATATCAAGCAGCTCCCCGCAGTTTCTATATGTTGGCATAGATTTTAAAAAAAGACAGAGAAAGAGAAGCAACTTGTTACTGAACAACACAAAATCTGTCAGCAAGCAAAAATTAAAACTCTGCCTGGAATATAACATTACATGTTTGAATCCCAGTTCTGTTTGTTGCCTTTGTGATTAAAATTTGTGTGTGCCTATTTACATCTGCGTCTTCATCACCCATGACTTTGTTTGTTGTTGTTATTGTTATAAGACCATTGGTTTATTTATTTATTCATTAATCTTTAAAAAATAATTTCTCAAGTTTTACACGTTGCTCTTGTTCATATAAAGAGAAGAGCGATTAAAAATGTCTTAATTTATTTTAAATGGGGATAAATTGATGCAGTTTGTACTTTCTGTTCGTGGAGGATCATGAATAAAAAAACTGGTCCGTTCCATCGGTAGAACTATTAAAGAGTTCAGATACAAAGGGTTGAAACTCACGCGTTGTGTGTGCAGCAGCATGCAGACACAGCAGAGAATATGTGTCACTGCAGAATCATCTGATAATAATGACATCACCGGGGTGTGCATTACCTCATCACCCTTCTCCTCCTTTATGCTGGCCTGCTCGAAGCCCTCCTTCTCCGACGGCACCCACACCAGCTTCTTGGCCATCCAGTCGGCTGCGCCACCCCGCTGTTGCGAAAGTCATTGTCCAGGAAGAGGTACTTGCCGTCGTCGGGGGCCGGGTCAGCCATGTGAAATATCACCGTGAGTGGTCGAATCAATCTGAGGTGATAGTTCAGCGGCGGTAGAGCTGGCGTCTGGATTGTCACTGGCGACTGGGTCGGCCTCTGGTGGGTTAATGGGAGTTGGGTTGACCTCTGACCTCGGTTTGACCTCTGGCCTGCTGAAGTTACAGACGACAGAAATCAAACACTGAACATATGAAATACAACAAGCTAAAGTCATTGGATTAAACAGTGCGCCTCCAACGACGAGGCTGCAACAACACGTTAAAGCCTGAAAGTGAACATAGCTCCTTGTTAATTTGCTTGTTTCTTTAGCTGGTAGCGAGACATTATAAGGAAAAGTTTGACATGTTGCAAAAAAATGTTTTCTAAAGTTCGATTAAAGGTCGATATAGAAAATATGAAGCAGACCGGATGCCTGGCGACTTCACATGACAACGAGACTCCCAGCCAAGAAATAGTTCAGCACAAAGAACAAAATAAATTGTAGTTTTTACACTTTGGCTTTGTAAACATTAAACAAACAGGATAACATGTTCATTAGTGAGGTTTAGAGGTACATTTTGTTAACTTTGGACAGAGCCAGGCTAGCTGTTTCCCCCTATTTCCAAACTTTATGCTGAGCTAATTGGCTGCTGGTGGCAGCGTGATATTTATCATACAGACATGAGGGTATCAATCTTCTCATCTAACTCTCTGCAAAAAAAAAAAAATAGCAAATAGGTGTATTTTGCAAAGTGTCAAACTATTCCTTTAAGCCCATCTTGGATTAATGCACCCAAATAGTTTGCCTTATTACCTTATTAACAAAGTGAACTAAGAAAAGTCTCGAGGGATAAGTGCTAAAGAAACTGACCTTTTAAAAGATATATTAAGTAAAAATCACGTTTGTTTTCAAATATTTATGCATAAAGAAGCAGCAATCCAAATAAAAGTTTGGAGAAAAAATTATCTTTAGTTATTATCTATCAAAAGTTGAAACCTCAAAATCAAGTCTTCTTCATCAGGACTGTGTTGGTCTGGTTGATCACGATGAACATTTTGATTCAACACTGTAACAATTTCGGATGCAAAGAGCAAAATTACACACAGCATCAAGCAGAGGAGACAAAACATTGCCAAGAAGATTTGCAAAACCCTCTTAAGTAACCGTGCAGGTATTTAAACATCTCACAGCTCTTTCTTTACGCTTCATCACACAGAAGACTGAGAACTGACCAGGACAAACGAGCATCAATAAAACAGACATTAACACATCACATTTTCTCTGTTTCTTCCTCCTCCTGTGACTCAACTGCTTCCTTTGCATCCAAGTGTCACACAGATAATTTACATTTGGTTTAAGTGAGCTGCTGATAACGGCCTCGGCACATTTCCCTAAGTTTTCAATGAGCTACTTACTCACTTATCCTCGCCTCTGCTTCTTCATGCAGGTCACAAGGCTGCTTTGACCTCCCATGAAACAGCAGGCAATAAAACATGAAAAGCAGCACACAGATAAACCCTGTAATCAAACAACTGAGCTGCCATGCTGGAATGCCCATGTTTGGCTAACACTTTTGCTCCTGGTAGCCTGGTAGCCCAAAGAGGGATGCTACGGACTTAGCAGGCATACTACCTTATAAGGTGCATCCTCATGTGTCCAGCCAAGCTTACCGTTTACACCAAAATGGTGACATGTCACAAGGTGCATCCATGTGTGGAAAACCGAGCAGGTGTGTGAGCAGAGAGATTTCTGCTGTATTTACAGATAAATGTAAATTATGTGATGATTAAAAACCATCCTGGAGCTTATTTTAACTTCTTTTTAAGAGTTTAAAGGATTCAGTTTGATGCAGAAGGCAACTGGTTTTGAATTAAACTTTTAAATATATATATATTATGATGTCCATTTAGCCCACTGTATTACTCTTCAACAGCATATTAACACATCCTATCTTAATGAGTTTTGAAGACTGACACAAACAGCCTATTACTTTCAGATGTTAACAAGCTAATTTTCCTTTTAATAACTTTTTCTTATTATATCATTTGCCTTTGTGAGCAATTGAACAGGTAATTTCAGCAGAACCCCCTGCATAAAAGTAGTAAAAATCCTCTTCCTGTCCCCTCCTTGGGTTTAATTTCATAGGAAGAAAAATAAAAACAATCTTTATACTCACTGTTCAGCGCTTCAGCCCTCGGTGCAGGATGGAGGCTCAACTCCAGGGGAATGACAATATCATGTCAGGTAAATGAAGTGATGATGGTGATGATGTCCTTCCTCCTCCACACTATTTAAACAGGCCCGCGACACCTGGGGGTGGAGCAGCGCCCGCGACCTGCCTCGTTTCCAAATGGGGTTAGCAGACAAGAGCGACATCCACCCAGCCAATCACAGCAGGAGGAGAGGTTTAACTGCTCTGCCTTCAAATTAAAAGCTTTGAATTGTGCACAGATGTCGAGTGGTTCACCATTATCAATAGTTGATTGTGTGATTATATTTGACTGCAAGGCTGACTTGAAATTTACTCAAACAGTGAACAACAATTTTAGTACAAGATACTTTAGATATATAGAGATATTTTAGTGTTTCCATTTCTGTTACTTTATAATTTTACTCCACTATATTGCAGAGGGATATATTGCACTTTTTACTCCACTACTTTTATTTGGTAGCTTTAGTTAGCCTACTAGTTACTTTCCAGATTACGATTTTACAAAAGAGTAGTTTATATAAGTCTATAAGAGGCGACATATAATAGATTAATGCATCTGTAATAATAATAATAATAATAATAATAGGCCTATATAAGCTATATAAGCTATAATAACATTAACCTAAGCCACAAATCCATTGAACTTTATAATAAGTAGGCTACTTCTGATACTTTTGTTTTACCCGAGATGTAAACCCTTTAAATTTAAATCTCTTTGAAAATTGGCCCTTTAAAAAGACAGTTAGAAGCCTGTTTTACTCAAAAGCCTGTAGATAGCCTAACTAAAATTAATAATTAAGTTATTAATTAAGTTAATTTATACTATAGGCTACTGAAAACACATTCAAACATTTGTAATGTGGGTTAAACACAGTTTTCTAAAGAGGGCGTCTCTCCTGGTTTACCCTCGTGGTAAAGGTGAAAGATTTACGCGTATGGATTCTTGTTCTCGCTGGCTTGCCGTAGTAGTCTGGTTTCTGCGGTGACCATGCCAAACAAAAGCGCACTTCACTAATTACACTTGCTATGATAATTGAACACAGTCCTATTTCCGGGGTAATTAATATTTTTTTTCTGGTGACAGTTTCTGTCCTGAAAGTGAAATGTGTGAGCCTCCGGAGGACCAGTTCTTCACCGTGTTTGACGGCTCTTCCCCGGAGGATGTGTCCCATGCCAGGCAGCTGTGGAGCTCTCTGTCTCTCCTGCCGCCGCTGGAGTCCCGGCTGGTGTCGGCAGATATCCGCCAGAGACTGCCGGTGTCCCGGCCGCAGCGCAGCGGCGCCGGAGCCAAACTCTCCGCCCTGGAGCCACCGAGCGTCCCCGCGCTCCGGCAGAGACAGGAGGAGAGACAGCGGTACGCGGCTATGGCCGACCAGAGGAGGGAGATCCTGGCTCTGCTGAGGAGGCAGCGAGAGCAGAGGATCCAGAAGGAGCTGCTCTCTGTGGACTTTAAACCGAAGGGGAAGCTCGGCGGAGAGAAAATGTTGAAGCCGCACAAAACTTCAGACTCTGAGAAGGACAAGGAGCTGGTCAGACAGCTGCAGTAGGCAAAGAGCTTAAGTGACCGTGTTTGGAGCTTTATGGACAAATGCGACAAAATAAAAATTCATTATAATGATTAAACACTTAATTGACCTGCGTAATGTAAAGCAGATTAAGTTAGGCATATTTTGTTTCCACAGAGGAGAAACTCTCAGCAAAGTCTGGTCAGGCTTTCCCTGCTTAATGCTATTTTAACTGTAATGTGGAACAGAGATGATCAAGTGAATGCTGCAGCCCTGCTTATCGTGTCAACATGCAAAGCACTGATACTGTTGTTAACAGGCTGATGCTAAGCAGGTAGACTATAACGTTTCCCATATAAACACTCTTATATGAAAATTTGCTAATTAGCCTTAAATACACATGAGTGGTGATGGTGCAGTGGATAAGACACATGCCTTTGGTGTGAGAGACATGGGTTCAATTCCCCATTGTGTCCCTGAACAAGACCCTTTACCCCTAGTTGCTCCAGAGGCGTGTGACCTCTGACATGTATAGCAATTGTACGTTGCTTTGGATTAAAGCGTCAGCTAAATGAAAATGTACATTAAAGTTTTCTGATGATGGCCAGTGTTATCAGGATGTGCCACTTTTAAAGGCTCTGCACACACACAGGTGTTTTAAATTACATCAGCTGATAAGATATAGTCAGGAGGAGCTGTGCTTATTCGTGCTGGATCACTGTCATTTTCTGGGACATTTAATGGAACAGGGCCATTGTTTATGAAACACAAAAACAACAGTGACAACTTGTTTCACCTGTGCTTTTTCTGCAATAACAAGTCAGGATGTCTGCTATAAAAAAAAGTCTGTTAGGCCTATGTGATCTCAACAAGCTTGGATTTAGGAGAATGATAACAGGGCATAGGCGGAGGGGATCTGAGGGTTGTCCCCTCCTTAAAAGATGTAAAACAAAAATGCAAAAAGTCCCCCACTCCACTGGCTGCTTTCCACCTTTACCTCACCTACAAACACAGAGTCCTGCAGCAGAGAGTTTGATTCGCTTCAGTAGTTGTAGAACTGCAATAAGAAGCTGTTTTATTCAATTTAAACATCAGATGAAGTGATTAGTTTCTCATTAACACAGATGATGTTGAGACATTAATGAATTAGTTCTGATTAAAAAAATTATAACACATGTATTTTTCCATGAATCCACTATGTTATCTAGATAATTAGTCTGCCACCACAACTAACACGGTGATAAGCCTGTGTGTGAACTGATGTTAGGGTAATATTTTAGATCTACCGTTGTGTTTTGCTCAACATGATGTAAGAGACGAAACCTAAAATAATATGTGGAGGACGCAAGATAATTTAATAATTATAATATTGCCGCGTGGTGAACCTATTTAGACAACTAAAATGACAGAGAAAAGAAAAACTGACATAAGTAAGTACAAAAAATTACCATTTTAAAGCAATTTGTTTACATTATGGTTTCCACGCTAGCAGTAAGACTTTCCTCTGTGTACACATATTATAGTACAGTTTTGGCTGTGTTATTTGTGTCCCCTTCAGCAATTGCTCTTGAGAAAAAAAGCTTATTGATTGTGGGAATTTGCTGCTTTCCTTTTTATTACGCTAAATATATTTTGGTCTGGACTACATCTCAGGCAGGTGACCAGTCCATCACAGGGTTAGAAACTTCATCAAAATAGCTTCAACTTAATTATATTTGTGTCATTTAGACCTGGAATTTACTTTGCTCTCAGAATATTAATGTTTAAATCACTATGATTTGTTTTTTAAGTTCTGACTGCAAAATTTCAACCCGTCTTTTTTACATCACAAGCATAAGAGAGCACTTTTATTCTATATTATTTATGTAAGATTGAATTGTCTGGTTGCATTACATGTCTGATTCTGTTGCCAACACCGGTGTCAGCTGGAGCCAGTACACAGTAGTTTGCTTCAGACAGCATTACATAAGGTGAAGTGAAGCCCGTGTGGATATTCAAATTCCAAATATCCAGTGGAGAAGGCCCAACCATAATAGGATAAGAAGAGGCCTGCTGACTGTTGACTTTAGCTAATTTGGTTAAAGTTTTCAAAGCACAAAGAGCACACTGAACCCTGTCGTCTGTAAACGCTCCCTGACCTCTCAAACCTCAAGTATCCGTGTAATTCAACCTTAAGTAGCTTTAAAGTGATCCTCCACCTCAAATGTATCTTCAGTATCAACAATCCACTTCAGTGTTGGCTGTAAGAACTTTATATTTTCCATACTGTTGAAGAATAGCATGTGATTAAAAGGTAACTTAGGTATTTTTTTAACCTGGAACATTGTGGAAAGGATGCCTACAGAGAGAGACCTTTTTATAAAGAGTATGATGCTTTTTGTTACCCTTTAGTATCCTTTCATCTGTTCATATCTTATTGTCAATTTTTATATTTTATATTTATGACTGCTATATGACTAGTACTTCCTCTATCTTTATCTTGCACCAAAACACCAAAGCAAATTATGTGTAAACCTACTTGGCAATAAGAGTCACTAAATCGCTCTCATCAAAGCCACCAGACTCCATTGATAAAAACAGCAATTTTAACTTGTAGAACATGAGAGTTGCTGGTCTACTGACGCCTTGGATAGTTAGTTAGTTTGTGTTACTGTGTGACTTTGGTGATTTTAACCTTTTAACAAACCCAAAGTCACACAATAACACTAAGTAACTGATCAAGGCAGCGGGAGACCAGAGAGGTAAAATTACTATTTTTGTCAAGGGAGTTTGGTGGCTTTGATCAAAGCGCTATAGCAACTGTTTCTGGTTATTAAACAAAAATGATCTTACTGTTTTACAAAAAGTCTATCTCCGTAGGGATCCTTTCTATAATGTTGTCAGACAGTCTGAGCCTGGCAGTGGAAAAAACAAGCACTTTAGTGGACACACTTTGACGGGGCGCAAGGATAACTTTGCAGCTCTGTTTCACTGCTGCCAACTGCAGTACTGTAAAAAGTAAAAAGGTCCCAAATAGTCACATAGACACAAAAACATGTGATCCAGGTTAAGAAAAATACCAAAGTTACCCTTTAACTTGGCAGAAGAATATTCATCCATATGTCTTATATACAAACATAAGACAGTTTAGAACATAGTGATGAAACTGACAAACAGCAGGAAAAGTGGATTGTTGTTCTATGTTCTGGATAAAGGTTTTACAGCCATCATGAATGCAAAGTTTGCAGTGTGCATTAAAATAGAAGCTGTCATCAGGAAAGAGAAAAAGTGTCCAAACATCCAGAGAAACATCTTAAATTGCATCTAACATAAAGCACTTCTGTGTTTATTTGTATGTTCAAGATTTCAGAATCAGAATCCGCTTTATTGCCAAGTAGGTTTACACATACAAATAATTTGTTTGGTGTTTTGGTGTAAGATAAAGATAGAGGAAGTACTAGTCATATAGCAGTCCTAAATATAAAATATAAAAATTGACAATAAGATATGAACAGATGAAAGGATATTAAAGGATTTGTATGCTAGCTGTTAAATTAAAATATTTACATGGGATTTACATGTGCAAATAATGTACAGTATAGCCTACTGTACTGTAAGGGAAAGAATGAATGTTCACTAACAAGTGTCTATCCAAAATCTGATATACAATATGGTATTCCTCTGTGCCATATTGCTTCATTGTTGTCTGCAGCCTTTCTAAATCCTAATGTCATCATGCTAACATGCTCACAATGACAATGTTATCATGCTGACATTTAGTAGACAATATTTAGGCCCTGTTTAGCATGCTAACATTTACTAATTAGCTCTAAAAACAAAGCTGAAAAGTCACACAAAAGCCGCCTGAGGGGAACATGTATGTTGGAACAAAACTGTTTTACTTATGACCACTATAAAAGTCAACCTGCTGAGGTGCTAGAGGAATAGTTCTCTAGCGCCACCAAAGTTTGGACTGACAGACTGGCTGAAAAACACATTAGTGAACCAAAGCCCCCCCCCCCACCCCTCACCCCCCACCCCCACCCCCACCCCTCACCACCACACACACACACACACACACACACACACACACACACACACACACACACACACGCTGTATTTTATTTTGATTTAATCCCACATACACTGCCCTGCTGCTGGAAACACTTACTGGAGCATCAAATGTGGATCACAGTAATCCACACACTTCTGATGGTCATTTCCAACGGGGTTAAGGGATCTGTGGAGATTTCTTAAATATGTTAATATTTTTATGCATGACAGTTAGTCTTAATTCTTAGAATAAGAGCAAAGTAATATAATAATAATCTTAAGATCTTGATACATTTGAGACCAATAAACATACTGCTCATTTATACTTGGCCAGGTTTTCACATATGCAGTGTTGAAAGATGGTGTAATGAAAACAATTTGCCATGAGATGTCAGTAAAAACTCATCTATCGACTTCACTTGCTCTAACCTTGGCGTGTGTGAGTAGATGTTAATACCACCAGAAGGCAAAGATTCTTAACTGCACAAAGAAAAGGGTGGGTAAACTGAATTTAAGTTGTTTACCTTCCACTACAATCTGTGTGCTCCTGAGCTGAACCCCAACTGTCCTTACCCAAATAATTCACCATGAAATCCAGAAACTTTCCGGCTGTGTTGGTGTCTGATATCGGAGTCCAGCATACATCTCTTCTCTCAGGGGTTGGAAACAGATCGCTGTAATATCTCCACGCCAGCTGTTGCTCGCTCAGTTTGCTGCACTTCATCACAGCTCATATGAGAGATGGAGCTCTGAGGGAGTATTATGGTCAGCGGGAACTGATGTTGCTGATATTTAACTGACATTTCTGAGAGCCTCGGGAGACTTTACAGTCTGATACAGAGCTGATCACATGAGCGTTCAGCTGCACAACATGTTGCTTAAAGTCCAGCAGCATCTCTGCTTCTCTGTCATCCTTCCTGACAGAGAGCACTGGTTATAAAAAATACATCAGTGTTTCATTAATTTTTTAAAGCGTGTAAACAAAATTTGCTGACAAGTCAAATGTTGAGCTTGGTTTTTGGTAAATATTGTCTGATGTTTTGGATCAGTGATGTTTTCTATTCTTCTTTATGTTTGTCTAGTTGTGTGAATTCACACTGGCATGAATGAGGTCTGAATATATATGCTCTTAAATTCTAACTTGAGTGATTCACTCTATCAAATATTTATAATTAACTGTTTACGCTGACATTTTAATAATTTAAAGTGGTGTTATTCTACATTTTTGTTATTGTCAA